GTACCTCTGAAACAAATAATACAATATATGTTAAAAAAAAAAAAAGAAGAAGAAGACGACTGCAGGAGGGGAAGAATGGAGGGGGGGAAATCGGAGGGGGAGACGAACCATGAGAGATGATGGACTCTGAAAAACAGAGGGGAAGGGGGATGGGTTAGCCTGGTGATGGGTATTAAAGAGGGCACGTATTGAATGGAGCACTGGGTGTTACACGCAAACAATGAATCATGGAACACTATATCAAAAACGAATGATGTAATGTATGGTGATTAACATAACATAAAAAAACTAATGATGTAATGTGTGGTGATTAACATAATAAAATAAAATTTTTAAAAAATAAATAAATAAAATAAAATGTTCTCATTGTGAAGAAAAAAAAAGGGAAGAATTACGGCCAGTTTTGACTGCTGAGCCCAACTCCATGCCCATTATGTATGAAGGAAGATTCTGGAGATGAAAAGAACATTCTAGCGATGGTGGTGATGGTGAAGTGTTTTCCCATTCCACTATTCTGTGCAAGGGTGATAAGGGATAGAGGGGGCATAGCCATTTTGGTTTTGCTGGGCAGTAGGTGAGGGCATTGATGTAATAAATGATAAAAGTACAATTTCTGCTAGGTCTAATCATTATAAAAATATTTTTGCTGACATTCACCTTTTTCCAAAAGCCATATGGTTCCCAGGTACCATGACCCTTAAATCTCAATAGTTCTTTTGAGCTCTGTCATTCATGATGTTACCAGACGTTCTCCTGAAGCACCTCTCATATTTTCCTTTCCTTTTCCATTTCCCCATCCATAATCCCAATTCAGGCCCTCAAAACTATACTCCCATATGCCTGCAGCATTTCCTAGCTTGTTTTCTCACTTTGAACTACCCATCCCCATTTAACTGTCCTGGATGTATATAAATTCACAAGTGTAAAGTCACCCAATACGACCTATCCAGTCATATGCTTAACACATCTGCCATTCAGAGGTGGGTCTAAGGTAAATTTTAATCAATCTGATACTTAAGTTGTTTCCTTTGTTTAAATATCTCCTCTCATATCTACTCAATAAAAAAGTCATAAATGTCAGGCCAAGTAAGTAAAACGGTGAAGCTGGATTGGAGTTTGCATTTTAAACACACGTGGATATTCTTCACTTCCACAAAATATTTTTTCCCCATTTTTCTTAAGAATATGGCCCTCTTGCACGTATTGCACGGAGCACTGGGTGTTATACGCAAACAATGAATCATGGAACACTACATCAAAAGCTAATGATGTATTGTATGGTGATTAACATAATAAAATTTTAAAAATCTTAAAAAAAAAAAGAATATGGTCCTCTTGTTCTACTTCAAAAAATTCCTCTTTGTGGCTGAGACAACCACACAGAGAAATTTGCAGCTGTAGGAAAGACAGTGTGTGTGGACAGTGCCATCCAGACTGACAACTCTGGAGACATGGAACCGTGGGACGAGGTTGTGGGCCCCCTGTCCACAGGGCAGCTGCTACTCAGGTCAGATAACTAGCATCGTATATTGTCAGAGTATGTCTGATATTTTCTCATGATCACACTGACTCTATGCATTTTTTGACAAGAATGTCAGAGAAATGATGTGCCTTGCTCAGTGCATCATTATCAGGAGGTCCATGATATCTGTCTCTCATTACATTTGGGTAAGGCTGTATCTTCCAAGTCTCTCCATTGTAAAGTTACTATTTCCTCCTCTGTAATTCATATGTATATTGTTAGGAAATACTTTGAAATGATGCAAATATCCCATTTCTCATCATAATTTTGCACATGTAATTTTAGCATCAATTGATGATTTTTGCCTGAAAAATGTTACTGTGTTGTTTGTTAAAAGGTGGTTTTCTATTCTTATTTTCCTTTCTACATTTGTTCATTGGAATTCTACCATTAGGAAAAGCTGCACCTTCTCTCCCACTTATTTATTTTATTCAGTTATTTACTTACCAGCATGAACTCGTATTATTCAATAGATTAGAATTCATTATTATCATCATTTATTTTGTTGCTGAAACTGTCCAAGTTTTGATTCCTGGGAGCTCTTTTAAGTTGGCTTCTATGTTGTTTTGACATCATGCCATCGATTTTTTATTACTTCCTTACTTTCTGGGACTGCAAAATATTCCAGGCTCCGCTTGCACTTCCCCTGGCCCAGATCTGTAATCAACCATTTCTCCAGGAGCACTGCTTACTTTTCTTGGGAAAATTGTATTTAGAAACCAAACTCTGGGCCCAACCTGTGTCGATTGCTACTCTGTCATTACACATTTGCAATTGTTTCTAGGCCCTCTCAGCAGATAGATGTAGGAAACACATACACGCACACGCACACACACACACCTCTATGTATTATAATTTCGGTCTATCTGTATATGTATTAAAAACCATTAGTTCATACTGATGCCCCTCTAAAACCAGAAGGTTCTTTGCAGCTTTTCCTTCTTCTATTTTTGTAACTTCTTTCTCCAACAATGGAAAAACTGGCTGTCATTATCTACAATATATTTACTTATTTGTTCAGTCCCAGTATACACATTAAGTAGTTTCAGAATTGGTAGTCATGCTCTAGAGTACCTCAAGTATAGTGCTTTTTTGTCTTGAGTTTTATGGTATATAATCCAAATATTGTTTCATATGATCACTTAGTTTAGTTGTTTTATTCCTCATCCCCCTAAGGTATGGTTATAGTTACCATTAATTTTGGGTTCCTCCTACATCTTAATCATTATTTACTTATTTATTTAGTTAGCTTGGTTCTGAAATATTGCCATAACCAAAGGGTTAGAACTATACAAGTTTTACTCAGAGAAAAATCACTTCCTCATCTTTTTTACCCCATTCCCATCACTCATTCTTGACACCTGTTCTTACCTATATTATGTATGTTATTAATCTCATTAGTTTCTGGATTTTACTTCCAATATTTCTTTTTGAATAAATGAACATATAATGCAGAATTTCTTATACTCCCCCTTTCTTACATTCTATACTGTCAATAATCTTTTATACTTTGCCTTGTCAATAATATTCTGTAACTCTTACCTTTTTTCTTTTTAAAGATTTGTTTATTTATTTGGGGGGGTGTTGCAGAGGGAGAAGGAGAGAGACAATCTCAAGCAGACTTCCTGCTGAGTGAGGAGCTTGATGAGGGGCTCAATCCCACGACCCTGAGATCATGACCTGAGCCGAAATAAAGAGTCAGATGCTTAACTGACTGAGCTACCCAGGCACCCCCCTGTAACTCTTTTCATAACAATTCCTAGAGATTTTCCTTATTCTTTATTTTATAGCTGCACAATATTTCATCATGTGGATGTACCATATTTTATTTAACCAGCTCGCCTATGAATAGGCATTTTATAATTACAAACAATGTTGTATTAAATAATTATGTGCATATGTATTTAATATTGTTGGGAGGGCATATCTAGGACTAAAATTTTGATCTCCTGATGGCTGATTCAATTCTGTTTTAAATCAAATGATGCAACAGAATGTAATTAAGAGTACTCCTCAAACTAAAAAATGTAGTATACATATATACAACCAAATAATACTGTATTAATAGCATTATTTTCTTTTTTTTTTTTTTTTTTTTTTTTTTTTTTTTTTTTTATTTATTTATTTGAGAGAGAGAATGAGAGAGAGCACATGAGACGGGGGAGGGTCAGAGGGAGAAGCAGACTCCCCGCTGAGCAGGGAGCCCGATGCGGGACTCGATCCCGGGACTCCAGGATCATGACCTGAGCCGAAGGCAGTCGCTTAACCAACTGAGCCACCCAGGCGCCCAATAGCATTATTTTCTTTCTCTAATCTAATTGTAACTGCTTTTGAGACAAGCAGTTCAGTTCAATAAAAACTTGTCCTTGACTACTTAACCAGATGGCTAATTTTGAAAATTAAGTGTGTTAAAATTCTACATTTCTAATCATACCTTCATTCACTAGTTTTTACTAAAAAATTAAATCTATTAGTTGTACAGTTTCTAGTCTTTAAAAACCCACTATTATACTAAATTATTTTTTCCATTTTATTCTTGTAGAGACAAGAGATAGAATTATAAACTGTAGTCCTAATTTGGCTCCTTCCAAACCCTAAATGTGGATGTCAAATAGGGTGGGAGCAGGTAAATAAGACTGCATGATGTCAGAAGCATTTTTCAGGTTGTCTGACACTTGTTAGAGGCTTAGGGGCTCTCCCCACTTCCTTGTTGGAGGAGTTACACTCAAATTCAGCTTCCTATGGAATTGGAATTGTGGGTTGTCAGGCCCCTCAGGTCTCCACATTCTGAATAGCTAGTATTTTGAACTGTGAACAGGATGCTCCACAGTCTACCTAGCGTCCATCCCAGGGCTGCCTCTCATGTGGGTTCAAGGAATCCCTAATGTAGCCCAGGCTAGTTCACCAGGAGACTGCCTTGAGATTTGGAAACCAGAAACGAGAGAGTGTTTTCCTTGTCTCTTCTTTCATCATGGACTACAAAGACCTACCATGAGACTACTGCCAGGTCCAACCAAGCCTCAGAAAAATCACTGGTGGGAATCTCCAAAGTTTTGGCGAAATGTCTGTCCTGGATTCTGCAATGTTAGCAGATTCAACTGTGCAAATCTATGCAGTAACAAGAACTTCAGGTCTGCCAAATGGTTACTTCTGATATGACTCCAAATATGTGCCTCATCTACTAACCAACTATGTCACTGATAATATATAAGGCAGAGTCTAATATGTCAGCAGTTTAGTAGGGACCATACTGTTTGGGTCAGGACCAGTTCAGAGTTTTTGAATTTGCATCATAACCTCTTTCTCTGTGATCACAGGAGTAAATAAAGCTTCAAACCATATTGCTGAACCCAACCTTCTAAAAATTATAATACTAAAGGTGATTTTTTTTTTACACTTAAGCAACCGTAAAGAAAACAAAATTTGTCAAAAAACACATAAAATAAGTTTCTAGGTGGTTGTGTTCTTATGTTCTTACCTCCTCGATCTCGGGCAGCTAAACTTTGACCCCTTCTTAATGTAATGTCCAATTGGTACATTCCGGGATCAGCCAAGGGGACATCTGCATTACTGGTTCCAGCAGTATTTATTTTCTGAAAAACAAGAAATATACAAAATATTAAATTTATTATCTCTTTCCTATTTCCTCTAGTGGGGGCCATATATAGCTTCACTCAAACTGGAAGAAGTAGTCAATAAAAGGAATCATCTTGTGCGTTACCATGCCATAATCACCCAGTTCTCTGAAGGTTTTTAAATTCATGAAGTTCTTTAGACTCAAAATAAAAACATGGCACTTATAGGAATTCTTGTTTTAACTCAGATTTAAGATAACAAATATAATATGAAAAACATTCCCCATGGATAGCCCCACATAATTCAACTAAGGAAGACTACATAGGAATAGTGTCTGAAGTAAAAATACAATCAGTGATGAATGGAGAATAAAGGTATGCAAGAACAGTTTATTTCCATACAAGTGAGCTGATAATTAAAGTGATTTATTCAGGTAACTGTGTTGACTCATTTATCTATGCAAAAGGGTCATGCTGATGGATTACACATTTCTATTTCAATCCCAGCATAAAATATGATGTAATTATACAGAAATAAATTTACCCAGTATTTTGACAGTATTTGCAAGAAATAAATACTCAGTGGGACTAAATTTCTAATGCTGCTTTCTGTAGAATAAAAGTGCACAAGCTATTTCTAGAACTAAACATTTTTGCAAGACTATCCCTATAGGATATCTTTAGTAACAATATACTATTAATTTACAGGCATTAAGTTAAATAAACACTTTTAAGGGGAATAGCTATATTAAAACAACACAAAAGAAACAATAAAAATTGTATAGGTCACATTTTATACTTTATGCCACTTTGAATACAACAGGAAAACTGACTTTTCTTTACATATGGAAATGATTTTAAATTCCTATAATTTTTCTTCCAATTCAAAAAGAAATATTCTTTTGTTTTGGAATCATATGCATGGATAAGGTAAAAATTTAGATGCTGGTGTGGCTCTTCTAATTCTACAGTTCATATGAAATACAATTATAAAGCAGCTCTTTCCCCCCCATGCTTCAAGAGCAAGAAAGCAGCTTTCCTATAGGAGCAATTATCATTTAAAATAAGAAGGAGCACAACTTTGACAGATAACCCAAACTCCTCATCTCTCCTCTGGTAACAATAAGAAAGATTCCACTTCTTTTCATGGTACCCCTGTTCCTACGTGGTTCCCACAGTGGCTCAGGCTAGAAATCAATGAGCTCCCCTTGACTTCCTCATTTCCCTCTCCACCACATGCACAAAGTTGCCAAATCCCATCCACTCCCTTTCCACCACCATTCCATCTCCCAATTGTTTTTTTTAATTTTTATTGTTATGTTAATCACCATACACTACATCATTAGTTTTTGATGTAGTGTTCCATGATTCATTGTTTGTGCATAACACCCAGTGCTCCATGCAGAACGTGCCCTCTTTAATACCCATCACCAGGCTAACCCATCCTCCCACCCCCCTCCCCTCTAGAACGCTCAGTTTGTTTTTCAGAGTCCATCGTCTCTCATGGTTTGTGTGGGGGCCATATATAGCTTCACTCAAATGATTTCCCCCCCTTCATTCTTCCCCTCCTGCTATCTTCTTCTTTTTCTTTTAATTCCTATTACCCCTAATTTGGATCCGGCCTTCGACAAGAGAGCAACAAAGGTGAGATGATTGTCTTGATGTTCAGATGGCCGCATATTTTGTAGTTTTCATTGTTCTATGCAGTGCCTCTTGAAGTTTATAGTTAATAATTTATAGGGTACCTGGTATAATATTTTAAAATGTGTATTATACTATGTGGGCAAGGAAGGAATTTTCAAAGATAATTTTACCTATATTAGGTTTTTCACTTTCGTTGTTTTAGAATTTAATACTTGGTTAAGAGATAACTTCACTGGACTTATATTTACTGGCTTTTTAAAGCCTGAATAATATTCCTCTGTGTGTGTGTGTGTGTGTGTGTATCACATTTTCTTTATCCATTCATCCAATGATAAGCATTTAGGTTGTTTTTTATCTTGGCTATTGTGAACAATGTTATAATGAACTTGGGAATGTAGATCTCTCTCCAAGATACTGATTTCATTTCCTTTGAATAAATACCTGCCCTCCTCCTCTTGTTCTCCGTGTCTTCCTTCCCAGTCTTCAAGGCTCATTTCATTAGCACTTATATCTTTCTTGTTCATTATCACATTCCATCTCAAATGTCATATTTGTCATTTTAGATTGTAAACTTTTAAAATCAGGGAATAGAGTGTTAGAGAATCAAATTGAAAACAAATCATGACAGAGGCAATGAAAAGAGAAAGATGTCTTTTTTTTTTTTTTTGACGTCTTTAAGGACACATGATCTAGCTGAACAGACACAGACATGGGGATAAATGACAAAGTTGGGTTTCATAGGTGGTTTGTTTCCTCTCTTTTTCTGTTTTGGCACCTTTTGTCATGAGGAACATAAGTATACCCTTAGAATCTTTTTCTAATATATAGTGCTATAGGCTGCCATTACCAATTAGTCAAAATTGGCACTTAAAATGAAACCCTGTCCACTCAAGAGCTATAATTAAAGACAGATTGCCGCAGTGGAGTTATTAAGTCATTGAGAGAACAGGAAAAAAAGACCAATTATAATGTGAGAAGAATCTGAGGTGACCTCAGAGAGAGGTCAATGGATCAAGGTGTGAAATATGGGTAGGAGTTTGACAAGTGAAGATTTGGAAGAAGGGAGGATGGACCAGAGGGGGCATCACTGGATAGTGTGAGAAATGAGGTAGAAAGGAAGACTCGTGTACTGTGACACCAGGCTGAGGAGAGTTTCAACGCATGGGCAACATGAAACCATCCCAGGTTTTGAAGAGAGAAGCAGTAATAACCAGGCCTTGTTTAACAAACACTTATTGCCTATCTGCTCTGGCCTACGTGCTTAGATTTCAGAAATAATCAAAACCAGGCCTTTTCTTTCCACAGGATAGAAGACAGAAGAGAAATCCTGTGGATATAGAAGTTTTTTAAAGTTTTTTTTTTTCTTAAGATTTTTTTAAAAATTTATTTATTTGACAGATTGATAGTGAGAGCAGGAACACAAGCAGGGGGAGTGGGAGAGGGAGAAGCAGGCTCCCCACTGAGCAGGGAGCCCGATGCAGGACTCGATCCCAGGACCCTGAGATCATGACCTGAGCCGAAGGCAGACGCTTAACGACTGAGCCACCCAGGCGCCCCTTTTTAAAGGTTTTATAACAGTCAAGTTTAAGTCACAAGGGCCGGATCTGGTCAGTGGTAATGGAAATAAAAAGTGAATTTGAGAGATATCGAGGAGATTCAATCAACTAAATTTGTCATCTGACAAGATGTGGGAGAAAGGGCAATGGATGGATGAGTCACACAGAAGTCTGAGCTGAGCCTCTGGGAGAATGGTGGTGCCAGCAGTGTGAGAGGAGAAGCAAGCTCCAAGCCACCACAGGGAAAACTTCCAGGGAGACCTCCAACTCTCTAAAAGAAGGATGCCAAGAACTTAAGAAGATCTAGAGAGTCATCTCTCCTCAGGCTCACTGAAGTGGTTCCCAGAAGAAAACTGGTAGGCTAATTATAGGGAGATACTAGAAATACATTTTTTTTATTGTAAAGTATCTTTCTAAAAATGTTTATTAAGTCCCCAAATGTTAACATGTATTAGGAAAGAGATATTTGAAGTGCTAGGTACATATACAGCTCTAAAACAAGCTTTGTCATTTTAAACATTTTTTTTTTCAAATTTAACACTTATTTAGTGACTATTATGGGAACTTCAAATAGATCCTTCTTCTCCCCAAACTGTCATGCTCCACACTTAGTTGCTCTGTTTAAACTACTTTATTGAGGTACGACTGATGTGTAAAAAGCTATACATACATAATATACAATTGGATGAGTTTGGGGATAAGATACATCTGTGTAACCATCACTGTCATCAAGGCTGCCAACATATCCAGCACCTCCCAGAGTTTCCTCCCACCTCCTTTAGTTTTATTATCATTTGTTTGTTTGTGGTCAGAATACTTACTAAGAGATCTACCCTCTTAGAGAATTTTAAATATATGACACGGTATTGTTAGCCAGAGGCATTGTGCTCTACAGCAGATCTCCAGAATGTATTCATCCTGCGTAAGTGAAACTTTGTACCCTTTGACCATTATCACCTCATTTTCCCCTCTCCCTTGCCCCTGGCAATCACCATTCTCTGCTTCTATAAGTTTGACTATTTTAGATTCTACATGTAAGTGAGATCATACAGTATTTGTCTTTCTATGTTTGGCTTATTTCACTTAGCATAATGTTCTTCAGGTCTATTCATGTTGTCACAAATGGAAGATTTTCCTTCTTTTTTTTTTTTTTTAAAACATGGAATGTTATTCTATTGTATACATACAATAAATTTTCCTTTATCCATTCATCCATCAATGGGCATTTGGGTCATTTCCATATCTTGGCTATTATGAATACTACAATACACATGGGAATGCAGGTATCCCTTCGCAATCTTGACTTAAATTCCTTTGCACAAATCTCCAGAAGTGTGATTGCTGGGTCATGTGGAATCACAAAAGACCCCAAATAACCAACACAACCTTGAGAAAGAACAAATCTGGAGGCATGACACTTTCTACAGTGATCAAAATAGTATAGTACTGGCAAAAAAACAGATATATAAACCAATGGAACAAAATAAAAGGCCCAGAAAGAAACCCATACATCAGAGAAGAAACCCAATGTCAACTAATCTTCTGTAAAGGCACCAAGAACAGAAAGTGGGGAAAGGATAGCCACTTTAGTACATGGTGTTGTTAAAACTGGATATCCACACGCAAAAGAATGAAATTAACCCTTATCTTACACCATATGTGAAAATCAGCTCAAAATGGATTAAAGACTTAATTACAAGATCTGAAGCTGTAAAACTCCCAGAAAAAAACATGGAAAAAAGCTCCTCAATATTGGTCTTGGCAATGAGTTTTTGGATATGACACCAAAGCACAGGCAACAAAACCAGAAATAGACCA